TATATTCATTTTTGGGAATCTCAAATTTAGAGAAATTAATATTGGAAAATGAATTTAATTAATTTTATTGCCATAGGTATTTAAAAACTATCTTAGGACCTTTATGAGGTAATATCATAAATGGAAATCAAATTTGACATCCATCACTCTGTTAGGTTTAATCTTAGAGAAGCTACGTAAAGTGCTTCTTGAATGAGCATTCTATCTATTCCTTTTACTACAGTGATTGATTGCAGGATAATAATATTTCCAAATCATAAATTAGACATAATCAAATGGTGTCAACAAAAATAATAAAAATCTCTTACACTTGATTGGTTGAAATTGAACTATTATGAAGAAATCTACTAATATAAACTTAATAATTTAACTGAATGTACTATTACTTGATAATAAAATAGGATATCATAATTTATTTAATAAAGTCTTATTTCATGTGATAAAGACACAATAATTGATTATAAAAGATTTGATAATTAAACTGAAGCCCCTATACTTCTTTAATTTTTTAGAATTCAAGAATTAACAAATATTTTAATATATAGAGATTCAAAATAATTAATTATCATATTAAGCTGAATTTATTGAATCAAATTACTTATATATGGTTGATAAATTTCTTTTTAATATTATTATAAAGAGTATAAATATATATGAATAATAAAGAATAATGAATTTGATTATCAATGGTTATTGTTAATTTTATTTGTTTAAATAATAAATTTGAGTACTAAGATTTTAATCTTAAATTATGTGCATTTAATAAAAATACATAATTATATTATTTATATTAATTTATAATGATACTACTCATTGTTTTAGTTTATACAACTCATCAAACTCTCATTTATTAATTTCATGCAAATTCTGCCATAAGAGATGGTAATTTCTTATTATTTTTATTTTAGAATGGCAAGATCCTTTTAATAATTTTGATTTCAATACTTGTGGAGGGATTCAATATTTTGGGAAATCTACTAGTGATGATTGGATTGTAATTAGCAGAATATTTGTAGATCTAGAACCTCATTCTCATATTATCGTGGATGCAGAATATCTTAAGTAATTATATTCTTAATTACAAAAGTATTGATTACAATTATAAACCTAATTTTTATATAGATGAACAATATATCAATTATTAGTCAGTGATATCATCATCTTAACTTTGTGGTAATATACAATTTGATTATATAAATACTATTTCTATTATTCGTTAACATAATAGAAGAACTGTTTGGATATATATTGCTTAGTATTATGCAGGAGGAGGATTAATATCATTGAGATTAAGTATGATTAAATGTTAGTATGATGTGCTGGATGCATAGAGAATTATAATACAATTTGTTTATAATGGAAATTGCATTAATATTCATTTAATTAGAAATTGATCACAAACTCTGATGGATGGACTTT